TTAATAATATATATATATATATATATAACTCGATAGTTTTATACATATATATATATATATTGCTTTAAAAAATAATGAGTTATATAGAAAAATTAAAATGTATTGGCCAGTCTACATGTCAAGTGATTATCCCATAGTACTAAGATGTTAGATATCAAGTACGTGAGTGTGTTTAAAATTAGGTTAAATGTTAATTTTGGTCTCCTCAACTTTATAGATTTGCACTTTTTGGTCCTTTAATAATTTTTTACATTTTTTTTATTCCTCAACTCTAAGGCATGCACAACGTTAGTACTTCTATCAATTTGGGCCGTTAACTCCATCCACGTGGCATTTTTTATATTTTTTTGATGACATAAAAAAGACAAGTTAAAAAGGTGATGATATGGATAAAACATTATTCATTAAATTAAAATAGTTTTAAAATGATAATTTTACCCTTACTCCATCTTCTACGTTTGATCTCCTCTTTGTTTCCAGCTTACCCTTCTCCATTCTCCACTGCTCTCTTTTTCTTCCTCCTTCTTCGCCTCTGTCTTTCGCTCTTCACCCAGATCTAGGTTCCACAGAAACCAATGACCTAGGTTCAAACAAACACAAGTTGCTGGGTTTCGTAAAACCCAATAACTTGGGTTCGTTTGAACCTAGTTTTGGGTTTCACGGAACCCAACGATACCCAGATCCTGGTTCTGTGGAACCTAGTGATCTACGTTCATTCAAATGCAAAAAACTAGGTTCGTTCAAACCTAGAAAACTGGTTTCGTTTGAACCCAAATTCGAGTTTCGTAGAACCCAGTGATCTGGGTTTGTTTGAACCCAGTTTTGGGTTCCATGGAACCCAGCAACATGGGTTCAAGGAACCCAAATTTCTGGGTTTTGAAACCCATGTTTATAAATTTTTTTTCTTTGTTTGATGGATTTTTGTTTCGAATATTGTGGTTGTGGGATGACAATTTAATGTTATGAATGCTGCAAAATTTTGTTTATATGTTTTGGTTTGGCTATTTCTCTTATAAGTATGTGATCATTAAGCTGGATTGAAATAGTATGAATTTTCAAGGTTTTGATTTGGTTCTTTTGCAGGTTAATCATTAGTGTAGAAAAAGAGAAAGATTTATTAAATCTTGGTTTTGGTTTTGTTGTTAGATTTTATTGTGATTTTGTGCAATCAAAAAGATTATGTTGGTTTAGTACAAGTTTAATTATAATTAATAGCTTTAATTATTTAAATTAATGAGTGTTTAATCTTAATATTACAATATAAGCTTTTTCTTTTTCGGTTGGATTATTCATGT